ATAAAAATGATCACTTTTCATGTTTCCGCTCTAGGGAAAAATAAGTTAAATGATTGACTTCCTGAAACTCTTTTCTCTATCAGCATTTTCATTATGGGTCATAATACTTTCTGCGACGTATGGTATTCTTGTTATGAGCATATGATACTTAAATTATTCTTAGTGAATTAACAGTGAATGAATGCAATTGCTAATTCATTTCATGAAATAATTTTGCGTGACTTCATCGTGTGTTAACTAAAAAAGTGCTCATGATGTGTGTGTTTCAGTGTTTAAAGACTTGATATAGATGCAGGATCAAGTGCCGCGACATTCCTTTATTTCCTGACACTTGATCTTATTTTTATTTCAAATCTTTATTTCGTTTTCTTTATCTTAACACGTTTGTTAACTTTTTTTACCGGCTTTTCTACTCCCGCGTGCATTTTCGCGAAACAAAAATCGCAGACTTTGTGTAAAAGGGTACTTTGCGTATTCCATCTTTCGCATCGTTTTGCTTGCGCGGTAAGACAAGACGGTGAAAGATGTAGCAATGCAGCATGCGAAATCTATTTAAGATTAGCCGATTTTCTAAGACAGTTCCAAGAAACATACAGAAATCAACAAAAAAATTAAAATGACTTTATTTTGATTCTTAATAAACAATCAAATTTTGTAACCAAAAAATTATGATACTTTCATGGATGTTAAAATAAAGTCATTATGACTTTCTCTCGACTTGGTGTGTTCCTGGGATGTCATATACGAGCGACTTCTCCGTACCTTATGCGGAATGTCGATTGTGCAGAACGTTAATAAACGGCTACGCAGGGACTTTGCAGCTGTAACTGCAGCGACAGCAACTGCAACGGGCGCGACGACGGCGACGGTGCAGTCGTTCGAACGACTTCTCGCGCGCACGTCGGTGTTCAAGTTGGCAATTAAGAGGCTGTGTAACTAATACGGGCGCACGAACGCGTACACACGTACGCGGAAGCTGTTAATCTCATTTCGTCGCCCTGTATCGACCGTTTGAGCACGTTTTAGCCGGACGTTGACTGACCATTAACTCGAATACCGACGTGTCGCGGCCCCACTTGCCATAGTCACCCCGGGACCACCCTGTCAAAGATGGATGAATCGAAATCAATTCGAGGGAATTTCATTCTTGAAACTCAATCGCCAAACTCGGGAGATGCTTCCGAAGTGTTCGAACTTCTTCCTCATTCTCTTTATTAATGACTTATTAATTAAATGAATAAGAAAGTAATTGCCAATACGAGCCGACACTAGTTCTTAATGTGTAAATTACATGTATTGTTCAATTGTAAGTAAACGTTTCGACCCCAATAATTTGAGTCATCCTCAGTACAATTTGAATCAAATAAGTGGACATATAAAATAAAATCAGCCTAAATTATATTTTATATATATAATAAATATTCAATTTTGAATACCGTTCGAATCGTTTTTATTAACAGTAACTCTTTTTAATCTGTCCATGTATCTATGTGCCACATCCTATAGTCAAACTTGATCTAAGAATGATGTTATAATCAGTGATCATTGTATCTATATCTCTCAGAGGCTAACAGTGTTACAAAATAATTTATTAAACATGAATATCAGAGATTTATTCGTTTTCTATATTGTTGTTAATTAAAGTAATGAAATGGAAATGATTATTCGTATAATATTCAATGGAAAGAAGAAGGAATTATAAACTGCACTTTAAATATAAGCTAAAATAGAATAAAGAGGGAAATAAGAACACAGGAATTCAGACAATAAAGGAATTCAGTAATAAAGTCAAATCCCGTTTCTCAGAGAGAGAGAGAGAGAGAGAGAGAGAGAGAGAGAGAGAGAGAGAGAGAGAGAGAGTTTGAAGATTCGTAATTTCTCAAAATGAATTCCCGAATTAATTCCTTTCGATTCGTCTCTTCTCATATGTAATCAACGATTTCTCTTTTTATGTTTTAGCATTATATTATATATATATATATGTATCTTGTTACATTTTAGCGTCAGACACAATGAGATATAAAGAATAAGATGATGATTAAGAAACGACTGATTCATTCTTATCATATTTCTTACATTTACTGATCACTCCTATATTTCACTGTGTCTTGGTTCTTATAGCTGTTTGTGCCTTGCGATCTTGAATATTGGATACTCAATAACATACTTGCGTACATAACATACATCTTGATTACGCGCTCTGACTTCTTGACATGCATTTTGCATCGATTATGGATGGGATCGAACTAACTCTACCTATTCTTCTTTCTGTCTTTCTACTTGTCTATCTGTACGTCTATTTACCATCTATCCGTCTATTTTCAGCACAGGTTGCCTGATCTTTGAATTGCGCATCTATACTTGTATATATACATATCTATATCTATATATATATATATATATTTATATCAGAGTGTATACAAATTGTATATGTATATATACGTTTCTCTGATACCCTTTTACCTCCGGTTATTTACGTCTCCGCAATTTTCCACGCCGCGCGCTGACGCGTGCACAAACCGCGCTCTGCTGTTGCGTACAGCGCGTAAAAGCTCGCGACTGACATAACACGAACTTTTGCAAATGTCATGTTTTACACGATAGTCCTCTCCAACGTTTGAGAAACTAAGTTTAGCTAGTTTATTAATATATAAAAAAGAATACCACATGTTTTCGTGAAAACGTTCAAGTAAAACTGGTTTAACATAAAATCAAGCGACATTTATACGCAGGATTATTATTATAAATTTCTCAGATTATGATACGGTTTAGCGAAATGGCAGAAAATTACAGATCGAAAACTATCGTTTAAATAATTTTCTTACTCGGTCAGTTTGATCACCCGAGGTGATGCGTGCACGCGGCATCGCGCCGTCGTCGTCTCCGTGTTTCTTGAGATAATACGACACGCGGCAATGTGCACGATACTTATTTGACGAGGCCGGCGTACTTTTATCGCCCTTCATCCATCGCAGAAGGAAGCACCTCTCGCGGGACTCTTTATCGATCGATAATTATCGAAGGCACTTGGTCAGCCTCGCGCATCTAATTTCTTCGTGCAAGGGTGAGGGTTGCACTGCACACACATCGAAGCTGTTCGTAATTTTTTTCCGGCTCATACGAGGATATTCTTCGCGACCTCTGCACTTAATGACCTGGTGAAAGTAGAATAGACGCTCGCGAACGATTGTTATTAGACAAACGTGCACATTGACGCTTCGTACCACTTATATGTACAAAGAATCTTCGTCGTATCGTTTGTATCCCTCCTGCCTTTATTTGTCATTCAACGGAGTTGATTGGTTTTTGCAGAATGCCCCGACGGTCAACTACCCTGCGACAATGGCGTCTGTATCAATAAGAACTTCTTCTGCGATCACAATATCGACTGCCATGACGCTAGTGACGAACGAAATTGCCGTAAGGATATCTTTGGATAGATATATTTTCTGCTGTTTCACCGAAAGTTCTATTCGATATTCAAATATTACAGAAAACACTCTATGCCCTGTTATGACGACATTTTGAAGTAAAATATATGTGTATTTTGTAACTTGGAGTGTAACATTTAGTATATATAATTAGGTCATTCGTGTCCTGCACATTTCTTCTCTTTGAAATATTAGGTGCACCAAATAATTAGTTATAACATTTATATACAATTTTTTTAAATATGCTTATAAATATTCTCTAAAGATATTAAAGTATATTTAAGAATTACTTGATAATTTTAATATATTTGAACGACCCATTGTAATAAAAGGCCGGAAAATCATCGTGTACTAAGAGTTAATTAAGATTTTTCATTAAAAAGATATTTAACCGGAATTAATGGTAGGCCTATTTTTTCAAAAAGATTCATAATTGAATATATGTTCATGAATCTTTTTGAGAAAAATGTTAAACAATTCAATTGTTTTATATGCAAATTGAATTATTCTATTAAAATATACTTTCTTATCAAAATAGTATTCGTTTTTATACAAATTATGTCATATTTTATATAACTTATATTCTTTGGTTTCTAGATTAGGATCTTTTAATTAACATAAATTAAATGGGTCTTACAGACCTGCATTAGCTGTATTACAGATTTTGACGTCAAGTTAAAGCATCTCTAGAAAGTTAAAAAAAAATTTTTTTCGTTTATTTAATAAATTTTGTATTCAATAAGTGCAGCTTTGATAAACGCGTGTCGCTCCATTTTGCAGCGGAGAGCGGAGAGACTGGCAGTTCAGGCCAGGAATGCCACGAGGGTAGCTTCATCTGCAGCGATGGCAGCTGCATACCTCCAACTGCAGTATGCGATGGACGTGCGGATTGTCCGCACGACGAAGACGAGATAAACTGCCATCGAGGTAAGTTAAATTTGCGGAATCGTCACTCGCGATATTCCTGCGTTGTCTTCTTTCGTAAAGAGCTGCGTTAATTTAGGTTCGAGGGAATGATCCTTATTGATAAAATATTCAGAAGGTGGATACAGAATTCTCCCTCATTGGTTAATTCATCATCGTATCAATACGATGTAGCCTTCGGAACGTATTCATAGCCAGGACTTAAAAGACATTGCGAGCACGATTCGAAGACGCAAACCTAATCTTTCAATTTATAACCTTACGTCATTATTATGAATTGAATGAATAAGGACTTTTGTAGACGAGATATAAAATTTAATCTCACCTCTACTGTATTTTGCGCAATGAGCAAGTGATTATTATACTTAATGAGCTCCTTAAGTCGCCAATAATCTTGTCTCTCAAAATCGTTAGTCTAAATAAATCTTACTTCTAAGATTGAGTCCGCCGGAAGATGATACTTGGAATATGAATGAAGGCACAAACGCCCATTTGTGTCTCAGGTTTATTTTATTACATCCGGACTCGCTTTAAGTCCTGATTATGCGTACGGTCATCGGACAAGAAGAAGGCTTTTCCTCGAGATTTTCGAGGCGTATATCAGTTGCGGCCGCGTCGCCAATACATCTTCCGACACATCTACGAGAAACACCGCAGCTCAGATTGAGTTACTTCTAGGTGTAGACGCCTCGGATAGTGTCTCCTCGAAGGGGCGTCCAGAGACGCCGGGAGTGATAGCCGGTGTGAATCCGGATAACAAGGCTTACAGCCCAGACACAGATGCAAATATTGATGTGCCGCCGACAAATCTGAGCACGCCGAGGAGTTGTGCTCCGGATGATTTTGTTTGCGCCGACGGCACTTGCATCCCCGAAACCCACCACTGCGACCATTTCTACGATTGCCGCGACTTTACCGACGAACAGTACTGCTTCGGTTAGATTATTTGTAGATCTCGAAAATCTGGTGACACGCACGCACCCCGCATCGAAGTCTCGCGCGCTTTCATTCTTACCCCGACGATTCATTGAGTAATTTCGTAGCTATGGAGAAGTTGTTCGTACGTCAATGTCTCAACATACGAATAATTCTTCGTATATTTACGAATTCACATTACTATCGTGTAAATAACGTTAAAAATTTTAAGAGAAAAGAAAATTAATTTTTTCTAGATTCTTTTTAATAATTATTTACAGTATTCTTCAGTATTATTGTCCTACTATTCTTTCTTTTTTTTTCCCTCTTTATTAATAGAAAATTGATTTTAATTAATTTTTAGTCTTTAATATATAAATATTTTTTTAATATTGTTTTTTGAATAAATTACTATAACATTTCTTTGTGAATTTATTCTTTTAGATGGAAAGTTATATTATTTTAAATTTTTGTTCTACTTTTTCGAATAACATCAAAGTTTTTATCCGTGATAATATTCTGAAATATCATTGAAAACACCAGATTCTCTTAGATCTATTCTTTTCTGCCAATCTGTGTTAGCAGCTGAATAGAAGATGTGTAGGTTGTTCCAGTAGAGACTTGATTATATTTCTAAAATTTATAATCGCAGTCTTATATATTACCCGGCGCATTTTTATAAATAATAGTGCATCTCTGCCTGACGTAAAATTTAGATCGTTTATTTTTCTCGTAGGTAGAACGTTTGGCATACATCCTATTTGGCATGCATAGCATGAGGAAAGTACAATTTTACCTATACATTTTTGTGCATTACATTTCAGAAGGAAAAATACTTTAAAAAGTCGATATACAATCTATTTATTAACAGCATCAATATATCGCTGATAAAAATTGACAAAATCATGCATAAAAATTAAGGGATTATAAATGTCTTTCCTCTCGAATCTATAAAAGTTATATTGAATGATGAATTATATTTAAGTGTTCGTAGATGATAATCAATGCATATAGCATAAATAACTGAAAAATTATTTATATTATTTATGATACTTTTTATTATTGTCACGTTATTCTCTCTCGCGAAAATACGTTAAATTAGCTCACCGATTTTGTGCTATATGAACTGATTTCCGATATATTTGATCTAGATTCTAGACCAAAGCTGTCTAAATTGGTGACATGCTGGTGAAAAGAGGCGAGACGAACGAGAAAAGGAACTCGTAATAGTCAGACAGCTCTGCTCTAGATTATATTTAACAGTCTTTTCTAGGTAATAAAATCTTTACCTTCATCGTATTTATATTTCGGCGTTAGATCATTGTTTAGATTGTAACGGACATATGATGGCTCCATGGCTGACATTTTACATGTATTTGTGTCTCATCTATATCGTTTCTTTAACGGATCAATGACTCACGGTTGTCTCGTTAACGTACAATGCAAGCTCTTATTTTAGGATGCACTCGGGACCAATTCCAGTGCGCCAATGGAGATTGCATCCGCGCCGATCAGAGATGCAACGGGTTCATCGAGTGCTCCGACGGTTCCGACGAGCCGGAGGAATGCGGTGAGTATAAAGGAGTAATCACTTAATCAGCAAGATAACGCACTAATTAAAAAATAACTAACAATAAGTAATAAAAAAAAAAAGAAATGTATCGCCGACATAGATTAATACAATACGTAACTTCGAAGTAATTTATAAATGTAAAGTTGCAGTCTGTGAAACGACACTATTCCTTAATTAATTTCTTAAATCCTATTTACTTTTAATCTAATTAAATTCTCTCATAAATTTACTTTTGCTTTATTAGAGCCGCCAAAGCCAACACCAGGTCAATGTGCCGCGGATCAATATATGTGCATTTCGGATAGAAGATGCGTTCCATTATCCTCCATCTGTAACGGAGTTCCAGAATGCCGAGATGGGTCCGATGAACAAAATTGCGGTGAGTCAATGACGTATATATATATATTTAATTCTGCAGCAATTCTCTTATAAATCACGTATTAAATTAGCAGTAAAATGAGCTAGACGAGATCGATAGAGTCTACTTCGATTTACTACTTTATATTAGTAAGCTAAGACTATAATTGACAATGCGACTTCCTGACTTTTTTGCCTATCAAGATAATCTAAGCAATTCTGCGAAAAAAAAAACGTAGCATAATGACACATATTTAACGACGAAACTAAAGATCGTGAAGCGGTATGCTCGCACGAGGAGTGGAGGTGCAAGAGCAACGATTGTATACCTCAACATCAACGTTGTGATCGCCGGATTGATTGCCCATACGACGATAGCGACGAGTTAGGCTGTCACTATAGAGCGATGCAAAGAAATCACAGTAGGTGCAGCGCGCATGAATGGACGTGCAATGACGGTCATTGCATTCCGCTGCATCAGCGGTGCAACAAAAGGCTCGACTGTCCTAGAGATATGACCGATGAGATGGATTGCAGTTATGATAATTGTGAGTCTCCCCTGTAGTTAGTTATCCGGAGCCGCCTTCGGGAAAGGGGACCGCACGACTGGCCGATAACACGCCATGCGCTAATCAATAATACCTTGTAAATATCCATGACACTGTAACATAATATCTACTGTAACGTAATACTGTAATGTTTTATGTAACACTAAAAGGTATTTATTATTCCCGTTTTTCAGCGGATGGGATACAAGCAAATGAGTCTGTATTGTATTTCCATCATTTAAATTGCAGTTCCGCCTTTACCCGATAATATACACACTTTTAATCTGAAAATAACAAATATCTATTTTATGATAAATCATACGAGGAGTACTGTGAGCTCTCTCGATTTTTGTAATGGTACATCGTAGAAGTAGACATCACACTTTGTATCATATTTCCTAAAAAAAAATTAATAACTGAACTAAAATATAAGATTACATTTCTGCATTTTAAAAAATGCAGAAAGGTGCCGGATAAAAGTCTCGAATTAACAAAATTGATAATTTAACGTTTATTCTGTACATATATTTATTAATCATTAATAAATGAATGTTTTTATTATTATTTATTGTTAACTTGTTATTTCTATTCGTGTACAGATACCGATGGAACATCTGACCTTAGACTGAAGACGTATCCCAGTGAACAAGTGATTAAAGAAAGTAAGTATTCTGTTCTTATTACCATGTATAGATTTGATGAAATGTTGTATATGCATTTGTTGCATTTCAATTTTTGCGTAGTTATATCATCTAACTAAAGTAGTCAATAATTGAATATCTTAATTATTTAATTAAATTCGAAAAATTAACACACAAAATAATAGACATTAATAATAAGCAACAAGTGCTGCATTGCTTATTATTAATGTCGAATTAGGGTATTCCAAAATAAAATTAATTAATGAATATGTTTGTTATTTTTTTCTTACCTTGGCCAGATCCGGCGAAAATAGGTAAGACTTTTCAAAAAATATAAGCTATAAATCACGCTGTGAGCTAAAATAATCTTCATAAATTATTAGATGTGCAAGATTTGAAATATGTATTTCAGTTATGATATACAAGTGTCTGTACATTATGTTTATATATGTATCTTGCTTTTTATGAGATTTTCTGTTGCAAACTTTTCTTGGGGCAAAATAAGCAACAGAATCGATCTTTAAAACTTCCAATAAATTTTCTAATTATAACATTAAATATATTTTAAAGTCTGACGTTTTGTTTCACTGATATACACATATTGTGCAATCATATTAAAATCATATTTATTTGTAAAAAATGCAATTTTTATATAATTAAATCAATAACCAAAAATTTCATTAGTAATATCATTTGAAGCCATGCTTGCAAATTTTAATCATGCATGATAGTTAATGTCGTTCAAAATTTGAACGAGAATACAAATTTTGATTAAAATTATAATGTATAAAATCTTCTACTACCAGTGTCTAATCCTGATTTTCATATACTTATTTATTTTATTTATAATAAAAACTCTTTTGACACTAACTTTTCTTTAAAAAAAAAAATCTCAATTTTATTATGCCGAATGCCTTATATAAAATTTTTTGCTAATAATGCCTTATATAAATTTTTTGCTCTATATAAGTAGCGTTTTGAATAACATGATTTAAAAAACTAAAGTGTTGCACGTGAATTGAACTAACACGTTGTCAGTATTGTCTCAATTTAAGAAACGGGGAAATCCATTTGCCTACCGATCACTTACTGACGGGACATTTGACGTACCGCGAGCGTAATGATCCGTAAAGGTGCAATCTCTCAAAACTTGAACAGAATTTATATCATGTAAAACCGTTCCGACCAGGTCGCGAGGTCGTGTTCCAATGTCGTGACGAGGGTCTTCTACGTGCCAGAGTACGTTGGATTCGCGGCAACGGCCTTCCTCTGCCGCCCGGCAGCCGAGACATCAATGGTCGCCTGGAGATACCCAACATTCAACTTGAGCACGCTGGAACTTACATCTGCGAAGCCTTGGGTTACCCACCGTCCACCTCCGGTCGTCAAGTAACCGTCGTTCTTACTGTTGAGAAATGTACGTTCATTATTATTCCTCTCTGATTTACAGCTATGGTCGAAGAATTTATTTGCGATGAGACACAATCACGAAAAACACTAATAACTTTACCTACTATAGCTTACTTAAGCAAATCACGATTTTTACTGAATCCAACATTGAAAACATTTTTAAACATTAATTGAAAATAAGAAATAATATTTTCAATGTTTAAGGTGCAGTGAAGATTTAACTAAGCATTTAAAAATACTGAACTATTTCCGTGCTTTTAATACTAAAAATAAGCAACTTCTAATGTTAAATTGACTAGTACTAAATTGGACTTCTGTAAAGGCATGGATAGTTAAATCTTAAAATAAGTTTAAGTTAATTAGAATGAGAGTTCTAATAATAGTTAAATCTTATTCTATAGAAATTAGTTATTTTGAGTATTAAAAAGTACTCTCTACTTAAAATGAGTAATTAATACTCAAAATAAGTTATTAATCACTATACGTTTCAGTAAATTTCTATAAAGATGTATAACTAGCTATAAATAACAAGTAAGCCATATTGAGTACTAACAATAAGCCATAATAAGCCAGTTACCTTAATAAATTTGAAATTCGCGTTTTAATGATTGAAGATCGCGTAATATCAAATTGATTACATGCAGTTGAGCAACCGGCCACCAGACCACCACAAGTGTGCCAGTACGATCAAGCTACCTGCAGCAACGGCGACTGTATTCCCAAATCGTACGTTTGCGATGGTAAATTCGATTGCACCGATGGATCCGACGAGATGCGGTGCAGTAAGTATGATAGGCATCAGCGAAAAGCTGGATATATTCGGCATTCATACTTTATGGTGAAAATTTCACAAGAACGCTTCGTATGTCCGATTCGACAGGTCCGCACGGATGTGAGCCCAACGAGTTTCGCTGCAATAATAAGCAGTGCGTCAGCAAGTTGTGGCGTTGCGACGGCGACAAGGACTGCGCGGACAACAGCGACGAGGAGAACTGCGCGCCGTCTCCCCCGGGATCTCCGTGCCGTTACAACGAGTTCGCCTGCAGCAGCAATAAACAGTGCATCCCGAAAAGCTACCACTGCGACATGGAGCGCGACTGCTTGGACGGCAGCGACGAAGTTGGATGCTGTCAGTAACGATGGGAATTTCATGAGCGCCAAACATGAATATTTTGTTTCAGATCGTCTGACAATCTTCGTTAAATAGTTATATAAATAGTTCAAGAAATAGTCGAAATTATTATTTATCGTACATTTTACATTACATTTTTAAAACATTTTACTATTTTGACGTTACGTCTGGAAGTTACATTTAAATTTTATGTTTTCTATTATGAAAGGATCTTCTGCCTCACTGATAATTAACAATACTGTGAAATATCACTATTGTTGGCCACTGTCCAGCAGTCAGCTAAGACTGCGTTCTATTATTCACTACGAGTTATTCACTACCGAAAATTTATAGTTCACGTTATATACTATAAATTTTCAATTCTTGTAACGAATAACAAAATGCAACCCAAGTCTGCTTGAACAGATTTTACAAATCATCTGATAAATGTTGCTAGCAGGAAAGTTACAAATTTGATGCAGAATTTGTTAAATGCTAACGATAGAATGCCATAAAATTGACAGCACAAAGCAAACAAAATCTGCATTTGATAGATTCTGTTCGATTTCTGCTGCCAATTTGCCGTCAAGTTATGTTTACAGGCTGTGCCAACAGAATACAAGATGGTACCGAATCTACTGCATTTTTTAAATCAAAGTTGCAATCAATCTGCTATCATTCTACGGATAGTTTACTTAATGAATATTAAATTAAATCTATATATGATTTCTTTTCCTTTCAGCTCCCGTTTACATCGTGAAACCTCCACCGCCGATGGTCGTCCTCATGCCGGGCGACATGTTGGTCCTCACTTGTACAGCAATCGGTGTTCCGATACCGGAAATCAATTGGCGTCTCAATTGGGGACATATCCCCGCGAAATGCACAACCGTGTCTACCAACGGAACGGGTACACTAACATGTCCAGACATACAGATAGAGGACCAAGGTGCGTACTCGTGTGAGGCGTTGAACGTCGGAGGCTTCGTCTTCGCCGTGCCGGATGCCATTGTTGTCGTGAAGGAAGACGGCAATGTCTGCCCTAAAGGCAAATTCAATTCCGAAGCGAAGACTGCTGAAGAATGTATCTCATGCTTCTGCTTCGGCGTCGCCACCGAATGCCGCAGCGCCGATCTCTTCACTTATCAGATTCCGCCGCCGTTCGACCGCTACAAGATTGTGTCGGTTGAGACCGTTCCGACAATTAGAATCCACGGTGATATTAGCAATCAGATATCCCAGATCCGCCCACTTGCCCGGGACGGCGTTCAGCTGTTGGAGTCTTTCAGTAATGATTTAAATGTCTACAACGTTCCCTACTTCGCGCTACCGGAGAACTATCATGGCAGTCAATTAAAGTCCTACGGTGGCTACCTAAGATACTCAATTCGCTACAGCGGTAACGGCACGCCGAACTACGCCCCTTCCGTCATCTTAAGTGGCAACAATTACATCTTAGTGCACAAAGGTAAGGAGCCAACACCAGATTACGAGAACGAGAGATCGGTCAGGTTCTTCTATGGTGATTGGTACAAGCAACAAGGAAGAAGCGAAGTCCTAGCTTCCAGGGAGGAAATCATGATGACGTTGGCAAACGTTGACAACATTCTAATAAAGTAGGCATTGAGTCCAGAATCTTGGTCATAAAAGATGTTAGAATAATTTTTTTTAATACGTTCAATATGTTGCAGAGTGAAATACGAGGACTCTCCGCAACTAGACGTTCGTCTCACTAATATCATTATGGATACCGCTGATACGCGAAATACTGGCCTAGGATCCGCGACCTTCGTCGAAGAATGTCAGTGTCCTACAGGTACGTATTTCTTGAATGATCAAGTATTTGTGTAACAAAGTTCTATTTGTGTTATCATCTGAATTATCTTCAAGGATACACTGGTCTATCTTGCGAGCATTGTGCACCTGGTTATCTGAGACGCGAAAGCGGACCATGGCTTGGCCAATGTTACAGGGATGAACCACCGTGTCCTCCGGGATACTATGGTGATCCTTCAAGGAATATCGCTTGCCAGATTTGTCCTTGCCCGCTTACCAACCCATCGAATCAGTAAGATAATTAAATTTGCCATTAGTGATATTTCAATTCACTTTGATAATTTATCATATTATAAATAGATTCGCTCGCACGTGTCATCTTGGCT